GTAGGATTGCATCCATGCTTCAGGGTGTGATTAGGTCAACGCCAAGACACCCACTACTAACTGTTCTGCTGTGTGCTATTCTCATATCAATAATCTTTTCAGGCTTAACATTGTATTAAAGACAGAAATACCTTTACAAATTGAGTACAACCTCAAGCGTAGGAGCTTATGCTCTAAAAACTTGAAAAAGCTCAGCGAAGTGTTTTATAATAATAACAAGCCTACAGTAATACAACACCACAGACATGTGCGTAAATAAAAAAACAAACCTAAATATACTTTAAAATGACTTAAAATGGAGGAAAAATTAAGAACTACAATAATACTCCACCAGCTAAACTTGAGCCACTCTCGACTCTAAGCCTCAAAACCAGATAATATTATCCATATAAATTTAAATGGTAAATGGCCTGTATTTGAATAGCGCTTTACTTAGTCCCTAGGGACCCCAAAGCGCTTTACACTACATTCAGTCATCCACCCAAATTTAGATAAATACTTCACAAGGATGAAACGGCTTGCGCAAAATAAATGGCAGGAGTTAGAATAACTGTTTAAAGACTGAAACACAAGTAACCTTCAGAGATGTTTTAGCTAAAAGTGGACTAAGCAAAAATACCAATATGATTAAAAAACACCGCTCCGAGAGAATGAAAATAGAGCCTTTGCCATTGAGACTGCTGCATATACTTTGTACTGATAATGTTGTTAGAAGTGATCTAAATCTTTAATTTAATTTGCTTTACTGGAGGAAGTAATATCCGGGTCACAGTGTCAGTTGCCAGCATCTCTGTGTTCCACTGAGACACAAAGCTGTGTCGTCTGCATAGCAATTAGATGCAATTTTACGTTTACAAATGATCATGCTTACAAATTATGCGCCCTGAAGGAAAAATGCAAAATTAAAAGAAAGCAACCCAAAAAGAGCCCTGTAGAACAAAGACATAACAGGACGAGCAGAGCAAGAGAAGAACTCACATGTCAAAATGCTTTTAACAGAAACGTCTCCACTAGAAGTTAAAGTCTGTGTGGTCAGCCAGTTGTTTTGTAGATTGTAAGCAGCAGTGGCATTAAACTGAATGATTAAGCAGCAATCAGAAGATCTCTGGAAACGTTAATGAGAGCAGTTTCAGGAGTGTGGAGAGGCTTCTGAGTGGAATTTATCAAGTTAGTGATTTTTATTCATAACATGACATTGCATGCTCAAACATTTCAGAAATGAGTATCACATCTGAAATGAAACTGCAGCAAGAAAAGGAAAACTTCGCTTCCAAGTAGTTGCAAATTACTCAGATCCAAAGGCTAGTTTCCTTTTAGTTGGGTTTTAGGTTAAGCTTATTTTCCTCCTTTGCTGTAAGTTTATTTTGTCTCTCTTTCACACACTTAGGAGCTATAGATTGCACTGTAAAAAAAAATCCTAAAAAAAACAGTTCTATTCCAGCAGCTGGGGCGGCAAAATAATACCAGAAAATAACTTTCTCATAAAAATACGGTTATTTCAGTAATGACAATACAGTTTGTTGCCTTAATTTTACATGGGATTTTGCCTTTTCCAAGTGCTTTTAAACATTTTAATGTGATTAAACAATGAAATTACCTATAAACAAGGTCAACGAATGTGGCAATATGAATAATAATACTTAAATGTACAGAAATATACAGTTAACAGTTGGTTTAAATAATACAGTTTTTCCTCGATTGCTTAAACACTGTAACCAGGCCTCTAAACTAAAATTTCAAAACCGTAACGCTATTGTTCAAAAAGCTCACCCATTTCCCTGAACTATAAACACTATTCCCTGCTTTGACACATGACTCAAATTTGGTGAACTGTTACTGCAAAACTCTACACACAAATCCCTACATTTTACAGTGCTTACACCATGTAGTCATTTAGAAAGCACTAGCATGCAATAATGTTAACTTACAGTTTTTTCTGAATGCTCAAACCCTAACTGTGATTCCTGTAGCACAATCTCTAAAACTATTCAGACTTATAGCAAAACCACTCACTGAGTTTGCAAAACTAAAAGCACAAAAACTGCTTTGCACTCAGTTTGCAATTTTGTAACACACACTTTGCAAAACTGTAGGCACAATTCACTGCACAACACTCAATTACCAAATTTCCAACACACTCCTAGCAAAAGTATACACATGTATGGCTATTATTAACACTAATTTGCCAACTGTCTGGCACACTTTCACATGTGAAAACTTTTTTAGATAATTAGTTCACTTTGCAATCAGCCTAAGCACTACAATACAGGCAAGCTGTGTGTGCGGAGTACAATGGAGGGAGCAGAAAGAGTGAGAAGTAGAGGAGGCCGAGGAAGAGGACGTGGAGGTGAAGAAGTAGGATGAAGAGGACGACAAGGACAAGGAGGAGCAAGAGGAAGACGAGGAGGGGGGAGAGGAAGATGAGGAGGGGGGAGAGGAAGGGTAGGAAGAGTAAGAAATAGAATTGCTGATGACATCAGAGCTACAATAGTGGACCATGTAATCAACCGTGGAATGACCCTGAGGGTAGCTGGCCAACGGGTCCAGCCTAACTCGAGCCGCTACACTGTAGCAAGTACCATAAGGACATCTTGAAATGAGAATCGGTGAGTACAGTCACTTCGCACAAAGATTTGTAGCACTGCCATATGCCAATGAGAACACACCAATACCATTGATGTAAAAATACTGAAATTGTTACTTTACAGAATTGCTAGATGACCAGATGCTGGGGCAGAGGAAGCATGTTCACTGCAGACCAAGTAACCCATATACCGTATTTCCCGGACTACAAAGCGCACCTGAATATTAGCCGCACAAGCTAAAATCAGGGGGAAATCCTGTTTTGTACATACATTAGCCGCACCTGACCAAAAGCCGCAGGTGTTTCAATATTGACTTATCATATGTAAGAGAATATGCACAAAGCGAATTGTCAGGAAAGAGATGGCTGTTTGGAGACACACCCCTTTTATTAATATTTTGAAAATCAAGTTATGGGTACATATTTGCACATGTGCTGTGCTTCATAAATGAGTAACAAATGTAGTACATAACAGTAACCTACAGCACACCAGAAAAATAGATTCAGACTACCTTTTAGGCTCAGGTGCAGTGACACGGCTTTAACAAGAAGAAAAGTCAGTCATTCACCACCATCTTCCTGCGCACTAAAACCACCAAAGTCCTCTTCTCCAGTGTCGGAAACGAACAGGCTCAGGATGGCTTCGTCATCCACTCTCAGCTTCTTTCCTTCGTTGTCACTTTCAAAACCAAAGATAATCCTCATTGTCATTGTCAGTGTCAGAGTCGAACACCCTCTGAAGGGCCGTGGCGGTGTCCTCCTCTTCATCATGCAGCAGTCCAGCCCTTCGAAATCCGTTGGTGATCGTGGATGTTTGCACACTTTTCCACGCTGTCAGAATCCACCGGTAGAGTTGAGCACAACTTGCTTTTCGCAAGTTTATCGCCGCTCATCATCCACGACTCCCGCTGAACGCATAGCGCTACTTTGAAGTTTGTTTTTCGCGCTACTTGTACGGCACTATGTTGCCTGGCGGATGGACATGTGACCAACATACCACTCTTGAACCCCGATCCTTCCGCCAGGCAACGTAGTGCCGTACAACAGCGGAACAAACAAAACAAATCGTCTTACGATATCACAAAAATCATGGACAATCTATAGAAAAGCCGCACCTGACTAAAAGCCGCAGGGTTCAAAGCTTGTGCAAAAAGTAGCGGCTTATAGCCTGACAATTACGGTAGTCATTATGGCGACTGCAAATAATCCTATACTTGGAAATAAACACTTGTGTTTGTTTTGATGTACTTGAAGTTTGGATCCCTCTATGCTTATGGATCTATGACAGACGTATGAGCTCAAACTGACATAGCCTACCTTGTGCACAGAGAAAGCAAAAGCCAGATGTGTTTTGTATTCATACCATCAGTGTGCAGTTGGCGCATTGTGTGCTTAGTAGATGATGGCTTGTGTGTACTGTTTGATACGGAAACACCATTTTTACGAAGGTGTGAAGAGTTAATCTAGCTGTGTTTGCTTTTACAAGAGAACTACAATGTTTTGATTATTGGGTGACAGGTTTTCTTATTTGTGTGAAGAGTTTTGCAAAATTAGCCAATAGTTACAAAAAATGTGCTTAAGCAATCAGAAAAAACTGTAAGTCAGCATAGCTTGAGCTCAATTAGCACACAATTAACCAGGTGGAAACACTAGGAGTCAAAATTTAGCACACACCAATCAGAACCTGCGATGGATAGATAAAAGGGCCAAAGTCAGCTCATTCAGGTTTGAAACAATGGATCCAAAGAGATGCAAAGGAAGAGGACGTGGTGGAGAAAGAGGACGTGGTGAAGGAGGAGGACGTGGTGGAGGAAGAGGACATGGTGAAAGAGGAGGACGTGGTGGAAGAGGAGGAGGAGGTGGTCTAGGACAACAGGAAGGTGGTGGAGGAGGAGGGAGAGGTGGAGGAGGAGGAGGACGTGGTGAAGGAGGTGGAGGTGGAGAACGACGGCGACAAGGAAGGGGAAGAGCAAGGGCAAGAAGACAGTCAGTCTCGGATGAAATTCGAGCCACTTTAGTTGACCATGTCCTTGTCCATGGGATGACTATGAGGGAGGCTGGGCAACGAGTACAACCAAATTTGAGTCGCTTCACTGTTGCCTCCATCATCAGAACCTTCAGGGAGGAAAACAGGTGGGTGTACTTGCAGTAAGACTGCTTTGTACAGTAACGTTTAAGTTACTGAACTTATGTGTCTTGAGTATGTTTCCATTATTTGCCTGTAAAATGAATGTGTGACAGTTACAGTAATGAGTGCTTCTATTTTTGTAGGACACAGAGACGACCACCTGGTGGAGGCAGGTTAAGGCTTTTGTCGGAGGAGCAAGAGAGGGAACTTGTAAACATGGTAATTGCAAATAATGTAATCCGCCTGCAAGAGATTCAAAGGAGAGTGATTGAGGATGATCATCTTTTTCGAGGCATAAATGCCGTCAGCCTCTCCACAATTGACCGCATCCTCCGAAAGAATCAATTCCGGATGAAACAGGCATACCGAGTCCCTTTCGAACGAAACTCTGACAGAGTGAAAAACCAACGTGTGGAATATGTTCAGGTATGAGTTTTGATACTGTATAAAGTATTGTGTACCATCACAGCATGGCAGTTTATGCTGCCATTTCAGCACTCTTGAACTGTGGCTCAGGGTACCGACTGACTCTACTGTGTTATGTGTTTTGCAGAGAATCTTTGAGATTGAAGGACGGCCTGTTCCCCATGAAATAATCTTTGTGGATGAGGCAGGTTTTAACCTGACCAAAAGAAGGAAAAGGGGGAGGAACATAATTGGCCATCGGGCTATTGTAAATGTCCCTGGTCAGCGTGGGGGGAATGTCACTATGTGCGCAGCCATCAGCCAACGAGGGGTACTCCACCGCCATGCCGTACTAGGACCCTATAACACTATGCTTCTCCTTGCTTTTCTTGATGGTTTAAGACAACATATGTTCCAGCTGGACTACAGGGAACCAGCACAGCCAGAGCAGCCTCACTACGTTGTTGTGTGGGATAACGTCAGCTTCCATCGCGCTGCTCTGGTTCGTGACTGGTTTACCAATAACCCAAGGTTTTCTAATATCTTTCTGCCTGCATACTCTCCCTTTCTAAACCCGATAGAGGAGTTATTTTCGGCATGGCGGTGGAAAGTGTATGACCGAGAACCTTATGTCCGTGTTCACCTCCTTCAGGCCATGGAAGAGGCCTGCCTAGACATATCAGTAGATGCATGCCAGGGGTGGATCAGGCATGCAAGAGGATTTTACCCCCGCTGCCTGGCCAGGGCCAATATAGCCTGTGATGTGGATGAGATTCTCTGGCCTGACCCAGACCAAAGACAAGATGCTGAGGTGGGATAATGTTTCTGGTGTGTGTTGTACTGTATAGTACATGAATGACAATGTGCCACTGTACATACATTGGTTGCGTCTTTTGTGTTTATCATGTGACAAGGGTTTTGAAGGGGAGAACCATAAGCAACCTATTTGTTTTGGAACTATTGTTTTGAATTAATTGTACCAGTGTGCAAAACTATTGTAGTGTGTGTGTTTTTGAGGGCTTGTGTTTGATGTCTGAGGGCAAAGTTTGGTTTTTCAGCAGGAGTGAATAGTTTTGGGTGTAGAGCTTCATTTTGACCTGGAAATAGGATGTTTGGGAAATTGAGTGAGATGTTATGGATTTGTGTTTACTGTTGTGAGGATATGAGGCGTAGTTTCAAGAAATGTGTTTTAGCAATCGAGAAAAACTGTAATAATGGATTGCATTCATACAGCGCTTTTCGAGAAACCTCAAAGCGCTTTACAATTCCACTATTCATTCGCTCTCACATTCACACACTGGTGGAGGCAGCTACAGTCGTAGCCACAGCTGCCCTGGGACAGACTGACAGAGGCGAGGCTGCCATATCGCGCCATCAGCCCCTCTGGCCAACACCAGTAGGTGGAAGGTGAAGTGTCTTGCCCAAGGACACAACGACCGAGCGTGTCCGAGCCGGGACTCGAACCGGCAACCTTCTGATTACAAGGCGAACTGCCAACTCTTGAGCAATGATCACCCTAAATAACAATAATAATTATTATTATTTGATGTAAAAAAAAAGTTTATAAGAATCATTTTATATATTTTTCCATAGCATTACATTTGAATTTAACAATTCAATCTTTTAAATAACGGACAAATATTTGTGAAATTATGATACATTTGTGAATGTTTTTAAAAATCTAAATATGCATATGTACAGACAGATACATTTAAAAAACAAGAAAATTGTGTTTTATTACATTTACAGTGATTTTACGTTAATTTACATTTGAAATGTAAAATCAGTCTATTTATGTAAATTTAATGATATTCTAGAAAAACAGTACAAAACTGTAAAATACACAGTAAAATACTTTTATATTACTTTTTTTTTTTTTAACAGTGTGTGTTACTCACATTCAGAAGGAATGGAAGTATTAACAACTCACTTAGGAGTACTGTGAGTCTCTTCCTCAAAGTTAGATAGAATTGGGCTTCCTTTTTCTACTTATATCCAAAGCACTTTACTATTTGTATTTACACACACTGGTCACTTCATTAGGTACACCTGTTAAACTGCTCAGCCCAAATTTCAAATCTGTGATATGGGCAGCAATGCCAGTAGGCATGTAGATGACCTTCTGAACTTCAAACCTGCATCAGAATGGAGAAGAAAGGTGATTTAAGTTGCTCTGAAACAGTTTTAATTTAGCTGACCAACAACTTACATCATAGTTTTTGTTAATGACCTAATGCACAAGGACAAAAGCTATGATGAAATGTACAGACACTTTTGTTAACGAATAAAAACGAGATAGAAATATTCTGGAGAGGCAAGATCCAATCAGAACTAATCTGCAGTAAGGTTAGAAAAGCACAACTAGCTCCCTCACTCCCTGTTTTGCATAAAAACAAAACAAAATGTCAACTCTTTGGAGGACGAGAAGTGTAGACATGTGGACATGCATCAGGTTGGCACATCTTTCACATCTGATGTCAAGGAAAATAAAATGTTGAAAACATGACAAACTTTTATGCTTTATATTTGAGTCAACTTGAGATTTAATCTGCTATAATCTTAAAATATCTAAGCGACTCTTTTAGACTTAAACTAAAAGTCTATAGATGCCTAAACTACGACTAAAACTAAAATGTTCTAGTCAAAAGACTGTGACTAAAACCAATTTGCTGTCAAAATTAACACTGCTTTTAAGTTGGTTCAGGCAGTCCTTCAAAAACTGCTGATCAAAGGTTAACAAAGAGTGGTATGAAAAAGAGAAAATCTCCAATGAGTGGCAGTTCTTTGGGAGAAAATACCTTGTTGATGTCATGGATATTTCCAGTACTTGTTGAATCTGTGAAATGAAGAATTTCTGAAAATGAATTAATAATTATTTTTAATAAATGAACCCTCTCTGATAGCTCAGAGTGAGCAAGTGTGACCAAAGCTGTTTTCAGGCATGAGGTCAGAGTGACGCACGAGGCGCACATGGTGCTCACTCTGTGGCTGTGAATTCACCAGATATTACTTGCACTGTTTTCACAGCTAAATCAGAAATTACACTGACTTTTGTGGAAGGTGGTCTGCTGGGTAAGAACCATTTAATATCCAGTCCAACTGAGTTGGAAATGTACTCTCTCACATGCACTAACATGTGGTAACAATAGTAGAAAAGTTCGGGACTTTGCTACATGTGTGAAAATGGCTGCACACTGTCAACTTGCAGCCTAAAACTTTCAACATTCTCCCATTAGTCAGTGCCTTCGACTTTCTGTCATCTTGTGTTGGGCAGGTATTGTATAATGAGATTATCTGAACTTTTCTACTTGCAGCCTGTCACTACCAATGAGAGTCCTACCCCTGTAACACTAAACAGATAAGAAAATTCCCATAGAGCTGCGGGGAGCATTGTGGAATATTTCAAGTCATAAGCGGTGCATTTATTAAGCATTCGCTTGTTCTGTTGCTGAAATTATATATATATGAAAGAAAGAAAGAAAGTGTACTTTATTGATCCCGGTGGGGAAATTCCTCTCTGCATTTAACCCATTCACTCAGTGAAGCAGTGGACAGCCATTGGGCTCCCGGGAAGCAGTGTGTAGGGACGGTACCTTGCTCAGGGGTACCTCAGGGTAGCTGTTCAGGAGAATCGAACCCCTGACCTTCCGATCATGGGGCCACCACTCTACTGAGCTATCCCTGCCATAATATATATATATATGTATATATCTATATATATCTATATCTCTTTATAGATATATGTAGAGATATAGATACATATATGGATATATAGATATATGTATATATCTATATATATCTATATCTCTTTATAGATATATGTAGAGATATAGATACATATATGGATATATAGATATATATATATAGATGAGTGCAACTCTGAGTAACAGTTTTTGTTTTATATTATTTTATTTCAATCTGACTTATAAATATATAGAGAGAGAGATAGTTAGGAACACAACATGGAAGAATTATAGCAATAAACAGATCAGGTGCAGTCAAGAATCAGATACCCGACTACGTGTCTAATTGTACTGAAGATTTACTAGATTTACTGAAAGAGAATATCTCAAGTATATATCTTTAATCCATAGAGCCCATTGGATGACAAGGCTACACATAGACAACCAGTTGTGTGTGTGTTTTGTATGTGTGTGTAGCTGTGTACACTGGTGAAGACAGATGTTTAAACAGGCAATCATCACTCAATGAGTAAACGGCTCTGGAGATTGAGCTAGAGTGTGTGTGTGTGTGTCTGACTGGAGGTGAATACCAAGAAAGGAGGACAGGGAGTGCAAAGACAAGAGTAGTACACAAGAGGTGGAGTAAATAAAGCCTATCAGCTCATATTAGAGAGCAGCCATCAAGGCTGAATGCAGATTTGTGATTAGCCCACATTTGTGGTATTTTTATCTCTGAATGCAACTCTTTGATCGCAGCCATGTGTCAGAAGTGGAAGAATCATCTTGAGGGACATTTTTCCCCGGGTGTTGTCTAAAATACCACCTCCTCAGGGTTTGACTGGCTGATCTCTTTGGCTGCTGGCTCGCACACCTTTCCTAGCATTTGACCGTTCTGTCTGACTGCATCTTCATCTCCCCCTTCCTCCTCCTCCTCCTTTTCCTCCTCCTCTTTCTCCTACTTCTAAAGACACACTTTGAAAGTAAAAATATCCTGAGTCCAGAAAGGCATGAGAAGCGATAGATCCATAAATAACCTGGGTCTTGTTTGAGATCAGCTGACATTTTAAAGGCTGCCAGGTATTAATAACATTTCTCGTGAGACAGAGATTGTCTCTCTATAAGTCTGTGCGTGTTTGTGTACTTTAGTGTGTGTTTACACATGTGTACAGTGCATGAGCATGACTGTGCATGTTTTTTGGGGGGATTTTGGTGAGCGGCAGAAAAAGAGACATAGAGACAGCGCTTGGCTGGTTTGTCATTCTTATGAAATTTTACCCCAGGCACAGCTGACAGAGATTTTACAGTTTTATTCTGAATGAAACTCCCCTGACAGAGAAGCATGTTCATGAACTAACCAGTCACATCAGTAGACAGCATCCGTGACGGAGGCTCCTGCATACAGACGATAAAATAATCATATGATAGAGTTTCTAAATATTTTACTGAAAGGATCAAATATTCAAAAAATATTTTTATTTTAAATGTATATGGTTTTCTTTTCTTTTTGTAGTTTTTATTGGTTGATTTTTTTCCCCCTGGAAGTTGGAGACCCTCATATTTCTGTGTGTTTAACTTTACCCTGTGTCTCCTGTGATTCCTGTATATCCCAGTTCTTTGTACTTCTTCCTGTTTTCTGTTGTGTTTTATTTCATTTCATTTTTGTGTATTTTTCCTGTTTTTGACATTCCCTCCCTCACAGCATTTCATTTTACCTGAGTATTCTTTCACAATTATTTTCCTTTTTATTTCCAGTCGGTAATTTATCTGCTGTCCACTATCCTCCCCTGCATATCTTTCCAATAATTAATTTTTTGTTGTCAGTTTTTGGATTCATTTTGGACATTGGTTGATTTTCCTTCTTGAACCCTTCAGTGCCTTAAGTTTATTCTCAGGTTTAATTAAATTTCCCCTTGGTTTGCCTTATCTGCACGTCTTCATGTCTGAATCTTTTGAGGATCGACTTCATGTTTTATTTGAGAGGACTGTGACCTATAACCTTTTGCTTGTGTCTCAATATGAGCTATTATTTAAAAGAATAAGCCCAGCTCATCCTTTTACCCAGTTACCCAGCTCTGTCGTCCATTGCCTGCCTCTACCTAGTGAATCTCCAGATTCAGCTTGTCACTAATCTGCAAAC